ATTTTAGTAGAGAAATCGAAAAATTTTATTAGAAAAAATATGCGCACTCCGGCGGACACTCTACTCAGATCCACTAAAAACAATGTTTTAAATATAATATATATATATATATATATATATATATATATATATATATATATATATATATATATATACACTTATGTATGTATGTATGTATTAGTAAAATTAATGACAAAGTAGAAATACTTTTCGTGTGACGCGTTTCGTCCTTACTAAAGTTATTGATACGTCAATTTAATTACACTTGCGGATGAATGAGAGGCGACGGGGAAATTTTTAACTTTTAAATTTAATTTTTTTATATGTTTGTTTTTATAGTTTTAGTCAATTTTATTAGTTAGTTTTTCTTACAAGTATATATATATATATATAGTCGAAAATTGTAGTTCATTAAGCAGTCCTGTATTCATACGGAATAAAAATCATTATAAAAAAGCGGGACATCAAGATACAGAAAAGAGTAAAGACGGATGATAAAAAGGTAAAAGCATGTGAGAAGGAAGATATAAAAAGATTGAAGTGAGCAAAATGCATAAACTAGTGAGAGAAGAAGAAGAAGGAGGAGAAGAAGATGAAGAAGAAGAAGAAGAAGAGAAAAGAAATGAAAAACAAAAAATACATGAATAATAAAGTAAAAAACACACTATAAAGAATAACAAATAAATGAAAAACAATAGAAATGAAAAAGCAGCAACAAATAAAAAACTAGTGAAGTAAACAAACAGAATAAGAATAAAATATAAAAAAAAACAACTAATAAATGAAGGACTGACTGAACGAACGACAGAATGAATGAATGACAGAATGAATGAATGACAGAATGAATGAATGAAATAAAAAAAGGAAACAAAAAATAGAGAAGTAAATTCAAACTAAAGACAAACCGTAAACAGATCAGAAAAATATCTTAATGAATGATAAAAATGAAATTCCTGCAAGAAAGAAAAAAAGAAAGAAAGAAAAAAGAAAGAAAGAGAAAATAAATGAGAAAAAAAAGGAAACTATGCAATGAAAGAAACACGATGAAAGACATGAATGAAAAAGAAGTAGAAGAAAGGGAAAAAGATAAGAAGAAGAAATGAATGAAATGAAAAGGAAATGAAATAGGGGACATACTGAAAATAAAAAAAGAAGATAAAGAATATAAAAAAAAGAAAGAGTGAAAAGAAAGACGGAAAAGAAATTAATGGCCTTACAGTCTCCTTAGATTTTGACACTACCCGCTTATTTTTGCTTCCTTTAGCCTACCCCCACCCTCCCCAGACGGCATCGAAGACGCGCCGTGTGTTTGCAATAGAAAGAAAGCCAGCGGCAAGTCCTGTCCACTATCCTGACTGCAACTCAGACGTTCGCAATCTTGTTATTCGTCTTAGCAGCCGACGCAAGACATCTTTACTCATGCTCTTCTTATCTTTGCTAACAAGGCGTGCCGTCGGCTTTCCTTCGGGGCTTTTCTCCACCACCAGCCCAAACGAGACAAAATGGACGTAGGCTGTTCGGCCCGACTGTATTAGAGACGCAAATTACGAGCGGAGAGAGAAAAAGAGAAAGAGAGAGAGAGAAAGAGAGAGAGAGAATCCTGAACGTACATACGCGCAGAATGACGAAAACAAAGCTAAGAAACCTAAAATGGCTGACGTGGGGAAAATGGTCGGCGAAAAAATGATGGTCGGGAAGAGAAGAAAGAAAATAGACAGAAAATAGGACAGTGAAAAATGATGAACTTTTTCGTCTTTTCCCATTTTCCATCCAAAGTCACTGGTTAGCGTCGTCTTCGACCATTTCGGTGTAAACGAATTAGCTTGGACTTTGCTGGACACCTCAGTGCTTAATTATAGGCCTAAACTGGAGGCCCCGCCCAAACCTTCTAATACCACTCTGGCCTACATCAACCGTAAGTGCACAGAGACCCCCAGGGTTGGTTGAGTTAAGACATCATCAAGGACCACCTGTGTGAGATATGACGTCCTCTATAAAGTGTCTTGTTATTTGATCAGGAAAGATTCGAACTGCGTAAGTGTCGATGCCATCTACACTTTGGTAGCTCCTGAAGATTTCGATACGTGTGTGTCGTGTGTGTTTTAGTACCTATGTGTACTACGTGTTTGAGTACGTGTGTATCATACGAGTTTCAGTACATCTAACTCAGCGGGATACGTGTGTTTGTGAAACATATATATTTAAATATATTTCTCCCTATATTGTCTTTTTAAAACTCCTGTAAATACTACAGCGAACAGAATTGTGGTTCTACAGAAGGATACTGAGAATAATTTCCAGTGAGTTTAACCCTGTACAATGCCCGGTAGCCCAATTTGAGTTAGACGGTTACAGAATAAGGAGCACATATTAGGTGGGGATGATAACGGTTAACTCTAGACTTTGGAATGCGCAATGATTGGGAAAATATCTTCTTGGGAGTCGGTTCCACAGAACGGTGGTTCGCGGTAAGAAGCTGCTCAAGTGGAACTTCTCAACAATGGAATATGGAGGGAATGAGCATAGTTCGCTAAAATGCGTGTGGCATGGCGGGTCCTAACCTACATGGCATCAAGAGGGTCCCCATCTAAGACTACTTCACGCTCCAGAGCCCATACACAAAATGACAGTACACTATCCCCACTTTTAGAAAGCTGCCGGTAGGATAGCTTCTTTACAAGTTATTCAAAGTTTCAGATTCCTGACTATCAGGCGAATAACGCCAAAACCCAGAAGAGGTTTACCTCCAATACCCTTAATTAAGGGACAAATAATCCAGGAAATAAGATACCCTGAGTATACATGTCTCGTCTACCCAGAAGTCAAAGCATCAGAACTCCTCCTTGGGGGTCAAAAACGTCATAACAGGCAGAGACCTACGCTACCAAGACAGGTTCACTCATATACATGAGAACTAAGAGACCCCATGGTGAGAAGGAAGTAACGAAGGTTACTTGTGGGTGTGTATGCCTCCCCTACCCACCATGCGTTGAATGTGAGAGCAGCGAGGAGATTTTACGTAAAATGGAAACAAAATGACACTAAATCATATAATCAAAATTGAAACTTAATGAGGAAAGTGGGTTTGAAGAATTAGACACTCACAGGACACTCTGAAGACAAGAGTGACAGAGAAATGCAGCACATAACTTATTAAAAAAGATTGTAGAACAGCAATTAGGAGAGAAAACAAAAAGGTAAAATTTACTTAGATCTACAAAGGACATGAGAATAATAATCGCCAACGTCCTAAAGGGACACGGCACATAGAAAAAGAAATTTGTTGCTACGCTTAACTGTGGCAGACAAGTGAATGAGTGTGTACGCATGTGATCTCGCTCCTACACAAACATAATAGTAATTGCATAAGTCGCAAATCGCTTTGGATAAGATGATATTTTTTGCATTTTCTATTTAATGCTAAATGCGAACAAATGACGGAGAAAAGATAATTATGAGAAATGTTAAATTTGAATTTTTTCTGAAAATATTTGGGAAAAAAAAAAACGAAACAGTTAAATCTTTGTCAATCAAGGAATTGATTTTTAAATGCATTTCACAACTGATCGATAATCCTTCCCAAAGAAGAACACCACTTGAGTGTTTCCTTCTACTTGACATCACCAAATGCCCCCCCCCCAAACGTTATAATGAAAGACTTTAGGAACTGAAAAAAAAATCGCAATCAGGATGGATGTGGATCTTGCTAATGACCAAGCGAAAAAAAAAATAACGAAAGCGTTCGATTAAAAAATTTATACCGATTTTAACATATACTAAAATTTGACCTACGTTCACTTGTAAAGAAACCTGAATGTTTAAGAATAACAGTTCCATAAGGTTATATATATATATATATATATATATATATATATATATATATATATAATTAACACACAAATAATTAATTTTCGCTCTGTAATAATAAATGCATTGAGCTCTTTTTGTGGATCAGTTTTAATATTTTATATTACTAGGGTCACTTGAATTACCAACAGATTTATTACCTTTACTACACACGCACACACACACACACACACACAAACAAACACACACACATACACACACACACACACACACACACACATATATATATATATATATATATATATATATATATATAAATAATTATAGTTTTAAGGTGTGCTATATTTATGGAATAAAGTGCTTACATTATACTGCCATATTCACAACATTTCGGATGTTGTACACTCCGGTTTTCTTCGGGTGATTGAAAATTCGAACCTAATCCTTTATTTCGTACACCGGAAAAGGCATGGCACATTGAACTAGAACAATCTATCCCGGTGGACGAAATAAAGGGTTCAGTTTGAAATTCCAATCACCTGAAGAAGGCCGAAGCGTACAACGGCTGAAACGTTGTGAATATGACAATGGAGATGAAGATAACAATCCGAATAATGTAAATAATGTAAGTAATTATAATACATCATTTCAAAGATATGGATACGAAATATATGACGAGATATTCTATAAAATCTGAATGAAAAGTCGAACAGTAAATAACATATGAACTATAGATTTAGTGATGAAAACTCAGTCGATTCATAGATTAGTAGAAAGTCTTTCAGATCTTTCGGACACGGATTTTTATATCTATTTGTCTGTTTAGTTTAAGCGTCAGAAGATTTGGCTAAATTATGTGCTTGTGCCTATATAAATTATGTGCATGTGCCTATATAAATTATGTGCTTGTGCCTATATAAATTATGTGCTTGTGCCTATATAAATTATGTGCTTGTGCCTATATAAGATACAAATGAAAATACCAAATTCGACTACTGACATTCTTTAAATTCTGGGAGAGCAAAAAGAAAAGCTATTTTAAAATACTTGAATTTAAGTTTTGTTTCTGCAAAAAATTACAAAGCAAGGAAAAGAAATTAAATTTTCACTGTGGTCGCAAACTTATTGCATGTGATAATTTTCTTTTTAGACTTGATTTTATAATTTTCTTTTTAAACTTGGTTTTATAAATCATGCTTTTATTTTTGCATTTTATGGACGAATATTTTCTTTGGTGAAGTCCTTTGTTAGAAAGAGAACTAAAAATATTTAAAGAAGAAGACAATGAATGAAAAAAGAAGAGCCAAAAATCAAATAAGTTTACAAATGAAAAGCTAAGAAAGAATGAAAGAAATGCGAAAAATAAACTAAGGAAGTCAAACAATGAAATAAAAAAAAATTAAAAAGGATGCCGAGAGAAAAAATTAGTAAGAAAAATTGAACCAAAACAAAAAAGTGAAAAAATGAAAAAGAAAGATAAAATAGGAAATAAATGAAGAAAGTTAGGAAGTAATAATAAATAGGAAAAAATATACAGAAATGAAAGAAAAAAAGAAAATGTTACAAAAGTTATTGTGAAAAAATAAACAAAAAAAGAAAAGACACAAAGGTTAAGTTGGACGGAAATGTTTCTTGTTTTTTTAATTGAAGAAAAGTATTTTTCCCCATTCGTATATCATTGAATTTCCGATTTCATCAGGCAAGGCGGATATGAATGAACAATAAATATTACGAGAATTTAAACTTTTGGAAAGAGAATTCATTTACTTACGATAAATCAATTTGAACACACTTTTCTTTTCTTTTTTTCTTTTCTTTTCATTTTTCTTTTCTTTTTTTCTTTTATTTCTTTTCTTTTCTTATTTTACTTTAGGTGTTCTTCATTCAATTCTTATTTCAGCTAATGTTTTTTTCATTGAGTTATTCTTTCATTTTTCTTTAGTATTTAATTCAGCTTTCTTCCTCCCTTCTTGTATTTTTCTTTCTTTCTTTCTTTCTTTCTTTCTTTCTTTCTTTCTTTCTTTCTTCAGTTCTTATTTCATGTTACATTATTTCTTTATTCATTTCTTTCTTTCTTTTTATCAAGATGTTTTCTATATTTTTTCTATCTCTCTTTTTTCTTTAGTTCTTCATTTAGTTCCTATTTCATATTTCTTTATTCTTTTCTTTCTTTCTTTTTATCAATTTATTTTCTATATTTCTTTTTTTCTATATTTCTTTTTTTCTTTCACTTTTCTAGAGTTCATCACTCTGTTCTTATTCCATATTTCTTTCTTTCTTTCTCTAGTTCTTCAGTCAGTTCTTATTTTATATTTCTTTCCTTCTTTCCTTCTTTCTTTCTTTCTTTCTTTCTTTCTCTAGTTATTCAGTCAGTTCTTATTTCATATTTCTTTCCTTCTTTCTTTCTTTCTTTCTTTCTTTCTTTCTTTCTCTAGTTATTCAGTCAGTTCTTCTTTTTTTCTTTCTTTTACTTTTCTCTAGTTCTTCCGTCGGTTCTTATTTCTTTCTTTTCTTTTCTCTTTTTCCTTCTTTCTTTCTTTCTTTCTTTCTTTCTTTTCTTTTTTCTAGTTTTCTTTCGGTTTTTTTTCTCTTTTCTTTCAGTCGTTTTTTCTTTCTTTCTTTCTTTTTTTTTTGCTTTTCTCTAGTTCTTCGATCCGTTCTTATTTCATATTTGTTTGTTTGTTTGTTTGTTTGTTTGTTTGTTTCTTTCTTTCTTTCTTTCTTTCTTTCTTTCTTGTAATTCAATGTAAATGGTGGAGTAGACTCCACCATTTACATTGAACGCTTCCCGATTGAATTATATTTATTTTGACTTTGAAATGAAATTTTGGAAAGAAAAGTTGATAAAAAATTAACAAGACGGTAATAAAGTCAAACCAAAAGATTCAGTAATTGGTTTTTCGAAAGAAAATCTGGTGAGAATCAAATTCCTTGATAAAAATTGAAATGTCGAGAATAAAAACAGATATCTCAATGAAATTAAAACAATTTGACTTTCCGATTCAAGTTTTTACTACAACATTTAATAATCACTAATTTCAAGAAAAATTGAAATATTGCTTCTTCTTCTTCTTCTTCTTCTTCTTCTTCTTCTTCTTCTTCTATATAGCAAGACACATGAATAAAAAAGAAAACAATATTTATGAATAACAAATAATTGGTAAGAGTGAATGAAACCCACAAAGTTAAAATGCAGAGAGATACAAGAAAACAGATAATATCTTTTGCAGAGAAACACAGATGAAACTATCAGCATGTGAATCCTTTATCCCAAATTCTTGGAACTAGGAAGTGTTTTGATTTTCATTTTTTTCAGATTTTGGAATATAGACAATTTAATTTGTTTACAACATCTACAAAATGGGGCAGCTTGGGAATGGAACCTAAGCATAAAAGCGATATCCCTTTACATTTCATAACACAGCTTATGCATATACAATGAAGGTATTTTTACAAAATTTAATAAATTTTGTGTGCATAGAAATACAGGTAATGTCGCTAGTCACGTAATACACGGATTTTTAAGTGGTGAAGTTAAGATATCACGTAATTTTTTTGTACTTTCTGTATGTGTACAAAAAACATGATCACTATTTATATATATATATATATATATATATATGCATGACATTTTGACATTTTGTATATCTTTACTGAGCATGAAACATCGAGTATGTAATCCACGAACGAAGGTGTTCCTGTGAAGATCTCTAACAAAACATTAACCTAGGCTACGGAGCTGGGCTTTCTGAAAATTTCTATTTGTGGCGAGTCATATCAACACCTGAAAAACTTTCGATTTTCGGAGGTTTTCGCATTTTGGAATTGGGGATATAGGATACTCAATCTGTATCAGAAAATGAATGTTGAAAATGAACTGAAATACACCCTTGTACAAATTATTAAGAAAAAAAAAGAATAATTCCCTTACATTTTACTTTTTTTCGAATTTTTCCATGACCCAACGCGCATATTAGTACTTCTTATGTCCATTCCATGAAGTCGTTTCTTGCAGATTGACTAGAGATTCTAGATTAGCTTTCAATCAGGAGATTTTCCGCGCCAGTCTATAGTACTTTGATTTGCTCACTGGAAAAGCTTGCCAGTATGCTTCGTTCAGCGTTACAATTTTCGTACGCTTCTTTGGAGTAACGTCCATTGCAGACAATGACCGTAGGACAAATAATCGACAGTTGAGACAATAGGGTCTGGGCGTGATAAAAATTTGATGCATTGATGGATGACGCAATATTTTTCAAGGCCAAACAAATTTAATCATACACCCGGAAAATAGATTCATATCACTGCATAGCACAGTAAATGACCTAATCTGAGATAAAAATCGAAATCGATTACACCCTGTCACTCCATTGGGTCTAACACGCATTGTATGCTGAAAGAAAGGAAACTAAAGCGGTTGTTTCAATTAAATTGCACAAGGGTATACAGTAATAGACATAATTGAGTAAGAACTGTGATAATTTAAGAATAGTTCAAAGATTTGCAGTGGATCATGCCTATCCATGTTTTACTCAAAGATGGGAGACTCTCATCACCAAAAGAGCCTCTCAATTTGGATTTATCTTTCTTCTTCTATATGCCATGACCTTTCAGGGAGTCGGAGATTATGGCCCTCCCCAACTTTCTGTCCCTTGTAGCTCTTAATTACTTTTCTCTTTTTTCCATCCCTACAATATCCTAATACGCCATCCATTCACTCGAAGTCGCCAGGTCGGTTGTGCAATACTTTCCACTGTCTTGTTTCCCTTCAGTCTGTTCTGTGACTATGAAAAGAACTCTTTCCTTTATTGTGTCCAAGAGACCATGTCACTTCCTGCTGTTAAGTATAAGTGTCCTTTTTAGTTGTCATTGTCTCTAGAACTTCATTTTTGTTCACGTGTTCGTTCCATGGTGTTCTCAGCATCATTCTGTAAAATCAGATTTCTTTTGCTTCAAGTCTAGCATTCACTGCCATTTTATTATATGGTAGTGAATGTTCGCCAATCTTTAGACTGATATCACGTGACATTTCAGTAGACATCTTTTTGTTTTCAACGATATTTTTCTGTTTCTTTGCTCATCTTTTTGGAAGTGATTTTTCACTATCCCAAATTCGCCTTCGAATTTCAGTGTGGCACTTTCCGTCCATTGTTAATACGCTTCGCAGACTTCCCCTATTTGATTTTGATATTTCCAGTCTGTAATTTATATTGTTGGGTTGTTCCTTTTGCTAACAATTATGAATTCAGTCTACTTGCATAATCATTCAGCTAGCCCTCATTTATTATCCTATTTCGCTTTAAGGAAAGACTTTTATTTCAGCTTTACCCGTGTCTCCAAAATGGTCTAAAGTGATAAAGTGAACCCTTTAAAATTTAACAGAAAGTTCGAGGGGAATTTCCAAAGCCGAATAAAAGTTTTTTTCTATGTCTATATGCCTTCATGTTGAAGTTAGATGTTTGATCGAAGGGGACAGCTTGAAATACGACGGTATGTTTGACTGTTTAACTTCATGCATTTTTTATCATTTTGTAAACATTGAAAGCATCCCTTATATACCTGTATCTATAAAACAGAGGATGTCTTTCTGACTGTCTGTGTGATACCTTTTCACTCGAGATCCATCCAACTGATTTTGACCAAACGTAGCACATGCATTTTACAATGTAAGAGGTAATTTTAAAATATCGATAATTTAAAAAAAATCAGTAATCGATAAAGCCTATCAAAAATCGTTAAATTCAACATTTTTCCTCCGATTTCGTTCATACTCAGTATGTTGGTTACTTACATCATGACGAGTTCAACGATACCTCATTTTTATTACTACGCTACTGCGTTTAGCGAAAAACTGCGTAAAACAAAAAATCGATTTCAATACAAATTTTAAACTAAAAACTCACTCAATTTTCAATACAAACTTCATTCAATTGTAGCCAACAATAAGTTGATTGTTTAACAGTCATTTAGCTTGATAATTGACTCATATAATGAAAAACCCCGTAAATAGAGAAAATTGTCGATTTTTTTTTTCTTATTTTTCGTTGATCTTTCAACAAATTTTCATCAAACTTAACAATTGCTTCATAAATGTATCCTCTTTTATATCCCTGGTAGCACACTAATAAATTGAATTTCAAAAACTCCAAGATAATTGTGGTCTGAAACGGGTCTTCATGTTGCCTGTTTTATCCCTTCATGTTCTCGGCTAAAATCGATTGAATAACTACAGACTACTTCTGTTATATCAGTAACTACATTAATTCAACATGTTTTTTTAATAAAAGTACTTTAAAGTAATTGAAGAAGATGGACTCTTTTACATCTAAACATGATGCTGTTTTTACTCCATTCTAATTGAACGCTTTTTCTGATCGATCAGCTAGATATGGCTGCTAGTACTACATATTTATACTAAATGTCAGCCAGCATAATTCTCAAGAGCGACGGTTACTGAGTGTGTTATGCTCTATGAACGTAAGTGAAAGTAGAGGCAAGTGAAGATTTTAAGGAAAAGGCGGATAGATAGAGATTGACCCTTGACTTGAAAAGTTTAAGATTGTAGTGTTTAGGGAAGCATAAACGTTGGTGTTTGTTCTGCAAAGTGGCAGTTCTCGGGTAAAACCTGTTTCATTGGAACTTCCTCATTACAAATGGAATGCAGAAGAAATATGTGTGATTCGACTCATTGGATGTATTATAGCGAGTCCTAGTTATAAATTTGTAAACTGTTGAATCTAAAGAATGAAACTTATATGGACATTGGCCGTGGAAATAGCGGCATGCATGCAATATTACGTCTATGGGAAGGAGGTTGTAGAATGGAAAATATTGCCTCAAGAATCCTAAACGAATCTGAATTCTCTCAAAGCTGAAAACTGAAGATTGGGAAGCTCCAATGTTGCTGCAATATTCCAGCATTAGTCTAATCTGTCTTTTGTAAAGATGAAGCATGACAGAAGAAGTCAGGTACTTAATGTAGCGGTCAAAGTACCGATTATTTTCTCAGCATCTTTAGCGATAATTCATATATTTACACTTGAGGTCTGGAGTGAAGCCCAGTAGACGGTTCAAAGGATGAAAACCTCATTGACAATGCGATCCCGTTCATTGTGACGAACGAAGTGCGAATAGTGATTTTCTAAGCACAGCTTAGATGTGGCACAAGGCCGAAATTATGGGGCACCACTGAGTCGTGATTCATCTAGCAAGACAAGCTTTCTAACCATTACACCACGTCGAGGTGCTCACGAAGTGCGGATATAGTGTAAACCTAGTTTCCTCGTTTCAAAATGAAAATTATATTACTGTCCTGTCAATCGTACAGATTATTTTGTGGTGTTGGTGTCTAGGGCTATTGAAAAAATGTTCTATACGAATTGTCTATAGTCTATTCCTTTCCGCCATTTCGTCTCAGGAAAGGTTTCAGAGGAATACTATACTTTCGGATAGCGAGGGAAATCTACATATTTTTTTGTAGTCACCCCTCTTTATTTTTATTTATTGTATTTGTACTCATTGAATATTCTAGCTGATAAATTATTCTGGTTAATTGATATTCTTCCTTGCAATTCCACTATTTATCCTTATACAAATCTGTTCGGGACTGTCTCAAGTGTGCCAATAATGATGGGTACAAATGTTAATTTCATACTCCATATTTTTCAGTTCACTGGCGAACCTCCCCTTAAATTGCCAGAGAAGTTTTCTTCATAATTTGATTAATGATAAAAATTAATT